GATATCAAACGGAGGCAACAATGGCCGACGACTTGGCGTCCGGAACTAGTCGGCTTTGTTTAACGCTCCGACGGAACTCAACGATCACGATAGGCTCTTCGACGGAACTCGATGGGTCCCGCAAGCTGAGATTGAACGTTGATGGGAGGAGAGTTCGCCGGAATCGGTTAGACCTGGGGGAAAAGGTCGCGTGGTTCAACACGTCTGGTGGTGCTGCTCTCGGTCGCCGGTCTGAGGTCAGAGGTCGGATAGCGACTTGACGTTGAAGGTCGATCTCGCTGTTTGTCACCTCGTCGGAAATCGGGTGGTTCTCTGGCACCGTGAATGACTCGCCCTCATCGCTGGTGGCGTTCAACTCGCGTTCGCCTGAAATCTGTTGCTGTTCGTGATGGAGATGCTCAGCGGGGTCATCGTGGGATGGAAGCAACTCGTGGAGGGAAGAGATAGAGTTTACGAGCTTCTTTTATGCTCTGAAATTCACGAGAGATTTCTCTCTTATCTGCTACTGATCGAACGAGAGGGTAGAGGTGGGAGACTGCGCGATTTGCCAGAAGAAGAAAAGGGTTTGCCATTTAACAAATAACCCTAAGTTAATCTCTTGCCAACCAAGATAGGTGAAACGGGTCGCGGGTCGGGCTCGATAAATTAAAAGGATTCAGTTCACTCGGATAATGTCCAGAAGAATATTAAAATAAATCAAATCGGCAATTCATATATTTATATATCACACAATATATATTTATTAATAATAAGTAATTAATACAATTAGGCAATTAACTAGACAACTAATAGTAACAATAATAATAATCAATTTGACAATTAGACAAATAATAATAATAATAATAATAATAATAATAATAATAATAATAATAATAATAATAATAATAATAATAATAAATAAGTAAACAAATAATCTCAAATATTTCATAAATAAACGGAGCGTTACAACCACGCCATTCTCATGAAGCCATGGACGACCAAGAAGCATGTTGTAAGAAGTTTTTGCATTGATGACATGAAACATAGCAGTTGATTCCATATCTTCCGTCAGCAACCTCAACCTTGTGATGCCAAGAGCTCTTTGCCCCCCTTGGTTAAAGCCTTGAATCATCAATCGACTATTACCAAGTTCTTCGGTGGTTATTCCCAACTCTTTTAGCGTGCGAAGAGGCAAGATGTTGACTGTTGATCCTCCATCAATCAATATTCGGTTAACCTTTTGCTCTTGCACATAGCCGGCCACGAACAACGGTCTATTGTGAGGCTTAGAACCAACCAGCAAATCTTCGTCAGTAAAGACCATCATGGAATCTTTATCAACATGCTGAGTTTCAACCTCAGGCCTATTATTTTCTTCTAGCAGAGCTTCGTTCTTATTTGTCATGTTGCAAGCTTCGCTTATATGATTAGCACTTGCACTACTTTCTTCTAGTGAAAATTTTCCTTGGTCTGTCAGCTGCATAACCTTGTCCTTGAATACGAAGCAGTCATGAATTGGATGCCCTTCAAGACGGTGGTATTTGTAGTATTTTGGGTCATTCACCCTACCAGCTTCTTGGGGACGCTTCATCTCGGGTAACTCAATGAGTATTGCTTCCATCAAATCGTCAAATATGCCAGAGACATCTGAATCAAGGAACGGGTACTGCTTTGCTTGCATTTCTTTCATAGTCAATCTCCTTTGTTAAGTTTCCTTGGGGACATCTTTCTTTTCAACGACTTTATCAACGACTTTTCCTTTAAACTTGACAGGCATAACATCGATCATCCTGGACTCCTTATTTTGAGATTTTGAGGAAAATTTGCCCCCTTTCCTTTTCTCGTATCTATCCTTGGAGCTTTGGGGTTCTTGGATTGGAGGACCATTAGCTCCGCTTGCGGCCATGCTTAGCTCCATGTCGTGGGCTCGAGTTGCTAGCTCTTCGAATGTTTTCGGTCGAATACCTTGATGGATGTAACGAAGACCCCAACTCATACGTTGAATGCACATCTCAATGGCAGAAGCTTCAGAAATACGACCTTTGCAGTTTAGACTTAGGTTCCTCCACCTATTGATGTAGTCGATGACTGGCTCCTCTTTCCATTATCGAGATATAGTGAGCTCGATCATGCTGACTGTACGTCTTGTGCTGTAAAAGCGACTAAGGAATTCGTGCTCCATTTGCTCCCAACTCTCGATGGAGTTTGCTTCCAAGTCAGTGTACCAGTCGAATGCAGCCCCTTTGAGTGAACGAACAAACTGCTTCACGAGATGATCGCCATGAGTTCCCGCATCGTTGCATATCTCAATAAAGTGAGCTATATGTTGCTTCGGGTTGCCCTTGCCATCAAATTGCTGGAACTTGGGAGGTTGATATCCAACGGGCATCCTCAAGTTATCAATCCTTGGAGTATATTGTTTGACATAGGTGTGGGTTGACTTGGAACCACCATCAAGCTTATCTTTAATTGTCCCCATGATGAAATCCTTCAGTTGATCAATGGGGATCATTCCCGTGGACGATTGTTGGAATGTCTTCTCTCTTTCTTCATATTGCTCTTGCTTGGACGTTTCAGACTC